ATGGAGTCAATATACACCAGAAGGGAGCTCCTGACGCCGGGGGCTCTTTTGATGTCACTAGACCTGAGGGATGCCTACCTTCACATTCCTATCTGTCAGGAATCAAAGTACCTCAGATTCACAGGGCTCGACAGTATTCTTTCAGTGCAACACACTTTCTAGTTAGCATCAGCACAACGAATCTTTACCAAGGTGCTGGCAGAGACTCTTTAAGGCCTGAGTTTGGCAGGGATACAAAAATCCTTGGTTACTGTACCGCTATTTGGGAAATTCTCCATAGGAAGTGAAGTAGAACTTTGGATGAGACCATCAACCACCATCAAAGCCTAGGATGGTTGATTTAAACTGGGAAAAGTCCTACCTCATACCTTCCCAACAAGTAATCTTCCTGGAATGTATCATAGGCTCTTCAGTAACCAAGATCTTTCTAACAGAAGATTTAAACCTTGACTGGGGAGATCATAAACTTTGGCCTCAGTTCAGAAACCTCAAAGTTCATGAGGATACTGGGGGGCTGATGACATCAGCCATTCCTGGAGTTCAAGGGGCCCAGTTTCATACAGGACCCCTTCAAAACTTTATGCTGACAATTTGGGATGTTCGGAAGGAATCCCTTCTAACGTTGGTAAAAATACCTCAAGAAGTAAAACAGTTGGTGAGATGGTTAAGGCAGGAGAAACTTTCAGTAGGTAATCTCTGGAGTCAACCGCATCCTGTAGTTGTCACTAGAGATGTGAGCTTGTTCAGATGGGGGCACACAATGTTCAGATGGCTCAGGGAGCCTGGAACAGTCAGTGGGCATGCAACTCACTCAAGGCAGTTCTAGAGACTCTAGAAGCTTTCTGGCCCACTTTTAAAGAACCATGTTCAAGTATTCTCAGACAACATAACCACAGTGAGCTACATCAACAAGCAAGGCGGCACAAGAGCAGCAAACCTTGTACGATTGCAGAACTTCTAAATTAGGTAGAGGAGAACTTGGCATCATTGTCAGCTGTATACCTGAAGGTCAAACTGAACACACACTAGCAGACTTTGAGCAACAAGAAATGTTCTTAGAATGTAGCCTGAATCCATCTAGATTCGACCAGATAAGAGGTGTGGGGAAACCGGCATAGACCTGTTCACTACAAGGGAAAACCAGAAAGTAGATTGCTTCTTTACTCTTCAAAACTATCCTGTCTGGGGCTGGATGCTCTATTCCAGCTGAGAGGGGGAATGTCTGTTTTTGTTCTCATATCCAAGATCTTAAGGAAGATAAGACTCGGTGGCAAAAGGTCATTCTGATTGCTTCCTACTAGCCCAAGAAGGGTGCTTCACAGGGTTGGTAAAAGTCTGCGTGACAGAACTATGGTGACTGCCCTGCTTGCCAGACCTCATTCACCAAGTAGCCGTGACTCATCTAGGAGTGGACCAACTTTTACTGACAGCCTAGCTTCTGAAAGGACATTGCTACAGCAAAAAGGTCTGTCAACAAATTCCTCAATACCATCCTCAGCAGGAAAGCTTCAACTAACTCTATATACAACAAAGTGTGGAAGCGATTCTGCGAATGGCAAAAAAGCTAATTGATAGAATAATAGGTCTCATTCTATCCGTGTTGGATTTTCTTCAGGCCAGGGCCAATCTGGGCTTGGTTCTAATACACGGAGGGTGCTTGCATGTGGGTTTTTTTTTTTTTTGTTTTTTTGAGCCTAAGACTTATAGCTGTTAAGATGTTCCTCTATTTTGAAAGTAGAATGCCAAAAAGTAACATTCCCATTTGGGATTTATTTACGGAAGTGCAAAGCTTTTGTAAAGAACCCCTTGAGCCGTTGGATGTCTGTGTAGTCAGAATGTTAACCTTGAAAACGTTCCTTTTTAGTGGCCCTAGTTTAGGCTAGGAGAGAGTGCAAAATTCAGGCTCTGCAATCCTGCAAGGTGAGGTTCTTTCCCTGGAAATCTAGCCTTTCTCCCTAAGGTGGCATCAGATTTTCACTGGGGGAGATCATGTTTTTTTTTTTTTTTTTTACTGAGAATGCAAAAGAGGTGGAATTCAATAAAATCGGATGTTAGGAGATACATGATTGCTTACATTGAGTACACTACAAAAACTAGAAGTGAATCTCCAGTCCTTACTCTTCTCTGGGCCCAACAAAGTCAAGAGCCTCAAATACTATTCCAAGGTGGATGATGTCAGTGATCATAGCATATCAAACATCTTCTTTGGTACCCCCCCCCCCCCCCCCCCTTCAGCTATTTGACTCAGTGGTGGCATTCCTTTTTTATAATGTGGGTCATATGTTTCCTGTACTAAGTGAGAGGAGCCTCTCTGTAAGCCTTCTTGGAGTTTAACAGAACAAGCAGACCTACATATATTTAGAGTATTGAGACAAACGATTTTTCCACTGACAGGGGGCTTACTATGATCAGCTTTTATTATATAAAGCTTTTGTCCCAAAAGGAACAAAACTGAAGCCAAACTCCAGCTAACACATTATCCGTTACAGCACAATTTGTTAGTATGTTTATAAGTCTACTAATGCAACACTCCCCTCCCCCCCCCCCCCCCAGACTGAAAAATGTCTGCTGTGCGCCTTCATCCAGAGTGGGGGCACTCTAGTACAGGAGGTGTTACTAGCCAGATCATCAGGTGAAAACAATGGGGGGGGGGGGAAGAGTAGGAAAACCAAATGCAGCCCCACCATTATTAAGCTGCAGTATATTATATTGGTGTCATGGAATCAGACAAACACTACAGATAGCTTTTTGCTTTGTTCAATCTCCAATGCGCTTAAGTGTTTTCTCTGGTGCTTTGTTCCTCTGTTATCGGCCTGTCACTTCTGAGCTTTTTCTGACACCTGGGGTGTGTGGTGGGGATGGGGACTCTGCAAACAGCTTGTCTATTCACAACACAGCAACTGTGCTGTGTGTGAAGGGGGTGTGTCCCTATCTTCCAATCATCTCTTAAAGCAGAGTTCCACTCACTCTGTTTAATAAAAAAAAAGAAAAAGTCAGCAGCTACAAAAACTGTAGCTGCTGACTTTTTTTTTTTTTTTTTTTTTTTTTTTTTTTAAAACAGCCGCTTACCTGTCCCACGATCCCGCGTTGCCTCCGCCGCAGCCAGTTTCACCGGCCGTCCTATAGTCCAGGTGCCAGCATCTTCAGTGTGGGCACCCGGCCGTGACCGCTTGCGGCTTCAGTTGGGTGCCCACTGCGCATGCGCAAGTAGCGCTGCACTTCCTGAATGGCGCCTTCTAGGACCTGTCACGGTTCCCACAAGACTTTGGGGAGGGAGGGTAGGAGAACAACAACCAAAGGTGCCGATCCTTAATGGAGAGCGGGGGACCAATCTTTAAAGCGGAACTTCCCCCATTTGGGTGGGACTCCGCTTTAACTGCAGCTCCCTGCCCCTTTCTCTGTGATGCTGACAAATGGAGTTTTTCTAAAAATCTGCACTTTTGAAGGGATGTACAAACACTACAGATAAACAAAAGGTATGTAGGATTGTTTCATCTGTATCACCAGTTCAATGCTGCTGTGAGCAGAAAGCGGTAACTCTACTGTCACCGTTGTGAGCCCAGTGTTGTCCACTGGAGCGCTGGGCTGTGGAAGGAGAGGGAGCTGGCTCAGGCTTGCTGGAAAGGCTGAGCCAGTTGCTGCTGCAGGCTCTGGGGTGGATACTTATTTTGAAGTCGGGCTCTCTTCTCAGACTGGACTGGCTGAGTGTTACGAGAGCAGAAGGAACTGCACTCCACTCCTGTGATCCACAGGAGAAGTACAAACCAGAGCTTTGGCTGTACCTCTCCTGTAACCACTTGCCCTGCATTAGATTTACCAGACCCCCCCCCCCCCCCCCCCCCCCAACCACCCTCTTATGACCAGGCCTTTTTTTTTTTTTTTTTTTTTTTTTTTGCTGTTCTGCACTGCACTGTAATTGCATGGCTGTGCAATGCTGTACCCAAACAAAATGTGTCCTTTTTTCACACAAATAACTTTCTTTTGGTGGTATCTGAACATCTCTGTAGTTTTTTAGTTTTTGTGCTATAAACAAAGACTGAAAATTTTGAACACCCCCCTTTGTCTTTTCTGACACTTTGTTCACATGAGAATTTTTTTTTTTTCTCGCTAGAAAATACTTTGAACCCCCAAATAAAATATATACATTTTTTTTTAAGCAGAGGCCCTAGAGAATAAAACAGTGGGTGTTACGTCACACAGTGCTTGGGCAGCGATTTTTCTAACTCGAATCTTTTGGGAAAAATACACTTTAGAATTATAATGCACAAAAACACAATATATTGCCCAATTGATAAAATAAAATATAAAAGATAATGTTATGCCTCCCCCCCCCCCCCCCCCCTTTTTGTTTCTTTTTTTTTTAAATTTTAAATACATTTTTACATTCTGTCCCTTTTTTTCATTTTATTGCTATCACAGGGAATGTAAATATTCCCTGTGACTGCAATAGGCATTGACAGACCCTAGATTTCTCAAAGAATACGTATTAGACTCTAGGTTTCTCCTCAAGCTTTACATCTGATCTCACCAAGATCAGTGTGATTCGATGCTTTCCCAGTTTACAAATGGCGCTGTTTATATTCTGCAAAACCGAAGTGATGAAATGCTCGTAGCTTCCGATTTCTTAGACTGTAGAGATGATTGGAGCCAATGGTCAGCAGTGGAACTGACGGCTGCATTCTCTGATTCCCCTATGGGACAGTAGAGCCCAAGAAAACTGTGGAAGGTGGCGTCCCTTCCCTTCCTGCTGCTTGTAAAAATTATTCAGCAGCTAATTGGCCAGAAGGATTGCTTTTACATGAAAGTTGACCGCCAGCTGAAGAAAAACTATACCAGGATGATGCCTGTAGCATTAAAATACCTGTCTCTTTTCCCATCTTTAATTATTCCTTTTTAATGGTCTTTAAATTAGTGTAATTAAAGAACATTCAATGTGTTTTTTCCTTGCATGTATGTTTTTTTCTTTCTGTTGTGTTTCAACCTTTATTTTTTTTCCTTACATGCTAACAGGTACAGTGGACCTAGCAGCCACCTCTTTACTAAATAAGCTGATCCATAAATCTTTGGTCGAATCTCGTCAAAATGTGGAGGTTTTGCAGAGAGATCCCACCTCTCCTTTATATTCAGTGAAGACTTTTGAGGAGCTTCACCTGTAAGTAGTTAAAATATGTTGGCAGTGTCAGGCGGGGGTACAGTCACAGAGGGCGTTGTCCTGCGTAAATGCTGCGGTCTCCTCTCCACCTAACGGTTTCACTGCTGTGCACTGACTTCCTGCAAAACTCAGGATAATTTAGTCTATCTTTTTTGTCTGTGGTTGTTTCTCACCTCCTTTTTTGCCTCTGTGATCAGAGAATCCATCCATCTTTTATGGCTTTGGCCTTTGTCTGTGGTTGGTGTGGCTTTGACCAAATTCATGTGTTCCTTATCCATTCCTAATTGGGGTGGAGAAGGGTTGCTAATTTGATCTCCCTATAAATTTAGACCAGCTTATTGGGGTTGGAGGAATCAGACGGGGTACAGCATTGTCCTGTGAGTGCATTTTCTGCTGGAGTGCAGCACAGCAGTTGAGCACAGACGGCAAGAAGATATAACTAAGAACACTACTGCAACCAAAACACTCTGGGGAAACATCTCCAAGTCTGATTCCCACTCCATGTACACTTTTTTTTTTTTTTTTTTTTAATTTATTTATTTTTAATATGCCCCTTCTACTCCTTTTCATAATGCTATCCCCTGTTCTCAAAATCGAACTTCTTTACCCCTCTGCTCTACCCCAAAGCTTATACATATCACCCTCACTTCTACCATCTCCCTACTACTGCTTTCATCACCCTCTGCTAATTCTTAACTCCCCTGCTGACCAGAAAAGAGGCATGTGCACTAATATACATCCTGCTCCCATCTTACTTTCCTCACCCTCCTAACCTGTGGGGATATCTCCCCAAACCCTGTCTCCCACTCCCTTAACTTACTAGCAATTACAGAAACCTGGCTACAAGCATCAGATTCTGCTTCTCCTGCAGCACTTTCCTATGGAGGCCTCCACTGGACTCGCTCACCCAGACCCAGTGGTTGGAAAGGTGGAGTTTGGTTTGCTTCTGTCCCCACTGAACATCCTTCAAGTCCTCACTACTACTCCCTCTCTATCCTTCTCTTTTGAGACTCATTGCAGTTGGCTGTTTTCTCACATTTCTGAGGATTGCAGTAATCTTTCGTCCTGGACCGCTGTCGCGCTTTCTTGATGACTTCTCTGGCTACCCTACTTTCTCTTCTCTGAAATACTCATTATCATTCTTGAGATTTTAACATCCCCATTAACCACTTCCTGTCCGGACACTTTACCCCCTTCCTGTCCAGGCCAATTTTCAGCTTTCGGCGCTCTCACATTGTGAATGACAATTACTCAGGCATACAACACTGTATCTAAATGAAATTATCATTTTTTTCAAACAAATAGAGCTTTAATTTTGGTGGTAATTTAATCATCACTGGGGTTTTTATTTTTTTGCTAGAAAAATGAAAAAAGGCTGAAAAACTTTGAAAAAAAACATGTTTTTCTTAGTATTTGATACTAAATTTTGCAAATAAATATACTTTCTTCATAAATTTAGGCCAAAATCCATTGTGCTACATTTTGTTGGTAGACATAACCCAAATCAGTGTGTATTATTTAGTCTTTGTGAAAGTTATAGAGTCCACAGACCACGGTAATATATATTTGATATATTTTAAAATGTATCAATCCTGATGCACGGACTACCTATATAAAATTTCTTGGGGCCCTAAAATGCCAGGACAGTACACAAATACCCCCCAATGACCCCTTTTTGGAAAGTAGACAGTCTGAGGTATTTAATGAGAGGCATGGGGAGTTTTTTGAAGTTGTCATTTTTTTGCCAATTTTTTTAAGGAAATGATGAAAGTAAAAAAAATTCTTTTTTTTTTTCCCACAAAGTTGTCATTAACAAGTTCTTTCTCTCACACGGCATAGGCATACTTGCAATTACACCCCAAAACACATTCTGCTAACTCATCCTGAGTATGGCGATACCACATGTGTAAAACTTTTTCACATGCCTAACCACAATAGAAGGGGCCCCACATCCAATAAGCACCCTTAGGCGTTCTAGGGGCAAAAATTACACATCTAATTTCTTGACTGTCTATCACAGTTTTGGAGGTCCTGGAGCACCAGGACAATTGAATTACCCACAAAATGACCCCATTTTCAAAAGAAAACACCTCAAGGTATGTTTTAAAGAACAAGCATGGGGAGTCCTCTGAAGACTTCATTTTTTGCCACATGTTTTTGGAAAATGTGAAAAGAAATGAAAATGTATTTTTTTTTACGCAAAGGTGTCAAATCTATGAGATATTTCTATTACACAGCATAGGCATACTTAAAATGATACCTCAAAACGCATTCTTTAACTCCTGCTGAATATGGCGATACCAAATGTGTGAGACTTTTTCACAGTCTGGCCACATAGAGGGGTTCCACATCCAATAAGCACCTGTTAGTGTTTCTAAGGGCAAAAATTAACACATCTAATTTCTTGACTACCTATTGCCGTTTTGGAGGTCCTGGAGCATCAGGGCAATGAATTATCCACAAAATGACCCCATTTTGGAAAGCAAACACCCCAAGGTATGTTTTAAGAGAGCATGCAGAGTCTTCTGAAGACTTCATTTTTTGCCACAAGTTTTTGGAAAATGCGTAAAAAGAAAATGAAAATGTATTTTTTTTCTACACAAAGTTTGTCAATCTATGAGATATTTCTAATACACACTGCATAGGCATACTTAAAATTACACCCCAAAACACATTCTCTAACTCTTCCTGAATATGGTGATACCAAATGTGTGAGACTTTTTCACAGTCTGGCCACATAGAGGGTTCCACATCCAATAAGCACCTGTTAGCGTTCTAAGGGCAAAAATCACACATCTAACTTCTTACCTACCTATTGCTGTTTTGGAGGTCCTGGAGCATCAGGACAATGGAAATTATCCACAAAAAGACCCCATTTTGGAAAGCAAACACCCCAAGGTTATGGTTTTAAGATGCATGGGGAGTCTTCTGAAGACTTCATTTTTTTTGCCATATGTTTTTGGAAAATGTGAAAAGAAAATGAAAATATATTTTTTTTTTTTTATGCAAAGTTTGTCAATCTATGAGATATTCTCTATTACACAGCATAGGCATACTTAAAATTACACACTCAAAATGCATTCTTTAACTCCTGCTGAATATGGCGATACCAAATGTGTGAGACTTTTTCACAGTCTGGCCACATAGAGGGGTTCCACATCCAATAAGCACCTGTTAGCGTTCTAAGGGGCAAAAATCACACATCTAACTTCTTACCTACCTATTGCTGTTTTGGAGGTCCTGGAGCATCAGGACAATGAAATATATCCACAAAAAGACCCCATTTTGAAAGCAAACACCCCAAGGTATGTTTTAAGATGCATGGGGAGTCTTCTGAAGACTTCATTTTTTGGCCATATGTTTTTGGAAAATGTGAAAAGAAAATGAAAATATATTTTTTTTTTTTATGCAAAGTTGTCAATATAGAAGATATTTCTAATACACTGCATAGGCATACTTAAAATTACACACCCCAAAACACATTCTCTAACTCTTCCTGAGTATAAACGATACCAACACGTGCAAGACTTTTTCACAGCCTAACCAAATGGAGGGGCCCCACATGCAATAAGCACCGTTAGGCAGATACTAAGGGCAAAAATTACACATCTAATTTATTGACTACGTATCACACATTTTGGAGGTCCTGGAGCAGCAAAGTCTTCTGAAGACTTAATTTTTTTACACACAGATTTTTAGAAAATGTGAAAAAAAAGTAGTTATTTTTTCTTTAATGCAATGTTACCAATAATAACATAATTTCTAACACAACACTGCATAGGTATTCTTAGAATAACACTTTAAAACACATTCTGCTACTTTTCATGAGTATGGGATACCACATGTTAAGACATTTTCAGTGTTTTGGACTGATTTACTGGTCATTGCAACCTGTTTATCACAAAAATTAGCAAACATTATATATCAATAAAGCATAGTGTAGCTTCACACTACAGCCTGTTCCTAAAAGCTTAACCTATTAGTACGTGGCTGTCCACATAGCACTATGTTCATTCACCAAGAAGTTGAACAAAAGATAAACCAAAGAGTACCTGTTGTTTCAGTGCAGAGGGTGGGTGGCACCAGTGTCTTGCAGGAAGGTAGCCAGTGGGATGTGCAGATGGGTCAGTACCGTAGGTGTCATGCATAGACGTGGTGAGCAAACAGGCAAAGTAGTGGTCCAGGAAGAAGACAGGAACATGGTCCATAAAAAGGCCACAGTCAATACAGACAGCAAGCAAAGACGTGGTAAAAGGATTGGTCCAGGCAGAAACATTAAGCTTAGGGCCTTGGTTAGGTAAGACTGGACAAAGGGGTAGAGGCTTCATCCCACCCAAATCTCTTCGAAGCCTCTGGTCTCCAGACCCTGATACCGGGAATTAAAAAACCCAAAGAAAACAAAAAAGTTTTCTCTGCTCGGAAACACTACTCTGGATCCCCTCACATACGTGAGACCCCTGTGTTGTCTTGAATCCCACTACTAAAGTGGGAGGGCAAAAGATCAGTCCAGGAGGCAGGCAGAGGCATGGTCGATTAACAGGCCCGAGGTCAGTTCAGGCAGCAAGCAGAGGCATGGTCGATTAACAGGCCGAGGTCAGTTCAGGCAGCAAGCAGAGGCATGGTCGATTAACAGGCTGAGGTCAGTTCAGGCAGCAGCAGAGGCATGGTCCATTAACACACCGAGGTCAGTTCAGCAGCAAGCAGAGGCATGGTCAATAAACAGGCCGAGGTCAGTTCAGATGGAAGGCAGGAAAATGAATTCAGGCAACAGGCAGAAACGTGGCAGGGAAATAGCAAACAGAGGACAAAGAAATATATCTTCACCGTACTTCACTAATAATGTAGTGCGGTATGGTAGATACGGAAGCACTCTTCTATACAGAGACCAGGCTTTGAGGGACACTGGGGACAGTAGTATCGGGTGTCAGATCGAATTCTATGTTTGGAGCATACCCGACATCTCTTTTGAGGATTGCGGTCTGTTTCGGTAGGGGGGACGA